CCGCTGTGCCACTGGGGGGAGGCGTCAATAAGAGAAAAGGAAGATAAAACGAATAAATAAAAGCAGCATGCAAAGAATAAAACTGAGAAAAAATATGAATCAGAAGCAAAACTGAGGAGACAGATGGTGCTGAATTTTGAAGAAGGGCAGTGATAGGCTGATAAAATCAAAAAGAGGAAAACAGATAAATGAGAAACTGATTGAAAATATGAAAGAACGAAAAAGAAATTGAGTGGAAAAATTAAATTAAGAGGAAGAAAGAAAAACAAAACAAGCTACGTAGAGAAAGAAGTGAAGTATCATGAGAAAACAGGAAATAGAAATTCCAATAACTAATATCAGAAAAGAAGAAAATTACGAGGGAAAATTATCAAAAAGAAATTAAAGATTGAAGAACAGAATCTTGAAAAAATGACGAACTTACACTAAAGCCTGATTATACTTATAATAGTGTTTATAGTGTAATATCTGTTTGTTTGTAATTAAGCACAAAGCTACACAATGGGCTATCTGTGCTCTGCCCACCACGGGTATCGAAACCCGGATTCTAACGTTGTAAGTCCACAGACATACCGCTGTGCCACTGGGGGCATGTGTAATATCTAAGAATACAAGATATTTTTATAGAATGTCGATATCAAGAATGGGATTTGGTGCGTATGTTGATTAATATGACATGGTAATTTGTTTTTATAATGTATTTCCATTAAATACAAGATAAAAAATCCATATGATTAGTACGAAATAGATGCATAATGTACAGCAAAATATATGAAAGAAGATAATTAAATTTTAATTAAATCTATTGTTTTATCGTATTACTAACACAGATTTATAAATTTAGATGTACCAAGAAATAGGTATTATTATTATCCTTACTTTGAGCTACAAAATTAGTGGTTCAAGCGTGCCATTTGTAGTACAGAGCTTGTATAGTATATTTTAACTCAGTTAAGTTTGATGTTTCATGCTTTAAACTGTAACACAAAATAGAAATCAAAATACTTATTGGCTCTACGTTTTGGCTTAAAGTCTTCACGGAAGCTTCATTCACAATGATTAAGATTTGTAACTGAAGTAACAAACAAATAAAATAAGCGCCAATTTATCTATAATCTGTATAAAATCCTTGCCTTGAGCCATGTGATTTCTGGTTCAGGCGTGCCAATTGCAGCACAGGAAAGAGTCAATGATTCGCCTACCTTCACGTACACCACATCAGGAGGTTTCTGAGTAAATTGTGGAGGAGCTATTGAGGAAGAAATAAAACAACTATAGATTAAAATTGTTAATATAGAAATCCAAGTAAATGCACAGTTATATTTGTTTTTTTGTTGTTTTTTTTTGCATGTGTTAATTAGAAAAGAAATTATACTAATTACGTTATAGACTCGCTAATGAGAAAGAAAGACATAATCAATTTCTTTAACTTGACCAACAGAATATGTGTTAAGTGCAAATGTGCCATTATTTACATGCTTGTGCAAAATGCAATTCTAAAATAATATTTAATTTAAAAAGATATCAATTCAAATTGAAAGTCCTTAAATACATCTAAAATACATCAAAATAAACAATTTAGTATCTTCCTATAAAACTCCTCCATAAATTATCCCTACTGATCACCTAAACCTTTTCACACAGCCACAAATAAAGGATAAAAAAGAAACACAATATACTTATATCACAAGGGTAAAAACATTTTTAATAAGAAAATTAAGAAGTAGGAATGGGAGCACCAAAAAAATAAGGAAACAAAGTAGGAATGGGCGGGGTTTTATAACACCTGGTGGTTTTTGTGGGTGTGGCCATCGTTCCGTACCTTCCTACTTCGTGTGTTTTTTGTAACTTGGTGATTGTTCAAACTAAATGAAAAGTGTATATAGCTGTTTCTCTGTTGTAAACTTTGCTTCAGCAACCAAATATATGATCCTAAAAAATGCATGACATAAAAAAGGGGGTGTTTGATGTCGAAAGTGTGAGAGAGAAAGCTACAACAGTCATACTTTATTATGGGAGACATTATAGCTATCTGACTGGTAAGGGGTGGGCCAACAGATTAGAATCAAAACCGCTAATTTTTGAAAATTTTAAATTTGTTGAGTGTTTAGAAAGGATTAGCTGCTGATGATACTCAATTCAAGACTATAACTGGATCAAAGTTTAAAGTAGAAAAAGAAATTGGAATGGGTGGAACGATCGCCACACCCACTTCGAGGTTGCACTGTGTCAAAAACCACCAAGTGTTGTAATGCTATCCCATCCATTCCTACCTTTACATTTTGGTGCTCACATGCTTACTTCCTAATTTTTTAATTATTATTTTTTTACATTTCTTTGATACTAAGTCTCGAGAGTGACTGGGCTCTAGGCCTATCTCTTAAACTTTCTTAGTGCTATCTCTCGACATTTTCTAACTTTTTGTATATATTTGCTATATCTTTTCTTCCATCCAGCCAGGGTGATAGCCTTTTCTTTGGCTGTATTAATGGCTGAGGCTTGTTTCACATATTCAGCATTACTGTTTCTAATCTTATTTCTATTCTTGTGGTAATGCTCTCGTTGGTGGAACAAAGACATTTTCTCTCGTTTTGTTCCTTAGAAGACATATTTAAAAAATCGCACTGTTTCAAGTACAACCTTAGATTTCAGTAGGTCACACTTAGTTCGAAAACAATGAAAGGTAAATTATACAATTAATCGTTCTTGTTTTCAATCCAGAGTGCTCGAGCAAATCCGTGTCAGAGTTCTGCAGTGTTGGTAAAAGAGTAGCCCAAGAGTTGGCGGTGGGTGGTGATGACTAGCTGCCTTCCCTCAGTGTAGCGTTGCGCGAAATTCAAAACAAACAAACGGTAAATAAGAGAGCATAATAGGGAACCACAACTTGCGGCTGAAATCAAACGATGCAAGCCGAAAGTTCACATCACAACAATCAAACGACTAGCCAAGGGCGGCGTCCTGGTCAAAGGGTCAGAGGCCGCTGATC